GTTAAAGAACAAATTCTGCAAAATACTGCAAAAAGAAATTCTAATATCAACCAGATATAAAAAGAAGCAATGGATGATGGAAGAAATTTTAGATTTAATGGAAGAAAGACGTCAATACAAAAAAGTGGATAAACAAATAAAATACAGAATTAAGAAAGCGAAAGAACAATGGTTAAAATAACAATGCGCAGAAATAGAAGAATACCAGAAAAGACATGATAGTTTTAACACACATAAAAAAATGAAAGAATTAACTCACAATAATAGGACAAGAAAACCGGTAATAGCGAAAGATGCAATTGGGAAACTTGTGTTGAATACTAACGACAAATTAAAGAGATGGACAGAATACATCAATGAATTGTTCAAAGACAATAGAACAGAGCAGATGGAGTTAGAAGTAGAAGAGTATATGGTTTTAAAGATATTAAAATGGGGACCTGCATTTCAGACAATAATGATCAAACAACCGAAATAAGAGCCAAGATAGAAATAGCAAGAAATGCGTTTGTAAAAATGAAAACAATTCTCTGCAACAAAGACCTTAGATTAGAACTGGGAGTAAGAGCACTGAGATTCTACGTGTTTTAGATATTGCAATATGGACTTGAAACCTGGACATTCAAACAAGAACACATACATAAGTTACAGTCCTTTGAAATGTGATGTCACAGGAGGATGCTTAGAATAGCATGGACACAGAAGCAAACTAACACGGAAGTATTGCGAGAAATGGGCAAAGAATGCGAAATATTAAACACAATAAAAATAAGAAAGTTATAATATCTGGGACGCGTAATGAGGGGACAGCGATATGAACTGCTAAGGCTGATAATACATGGAAAGATAAGAGGAGGAAGGAGTATAGGAAGAAGGAGATTGTCATGGTTAAAGAATTTAAGGGACTGGTTTAAATGCAGTTCTCTAGAACTCTTCAGAGCAGCGGAAGATAGAGTAAAGATAGTGATAATATCAAACCTCCGATTAAGAGAGGGCACACGATTGAGAGAAGAAGTACATTGATTGTAGTAGACCCTTTACGGTGAGGATTAGTTACCTGGGGTTTCATATGCGCAATAAGTGTATGCTATTACGGCACACATTTCAAAATTGTGCAATCTGACTACACATTTTCAGAATATATCTCAAATTTTCGCAAAACGAATGATTTATATTTTTTTAAATTATAACTCAGCAAAAGTCGAGACGGTATCGCAAAACAACTTATCCGTCTAGTCTACATATATTTCAAGAACAAATTAATCGTGCTCACCAAACCACATCATTTTCTCTCGTTACACAAACTTAACTCAACATCCGAGATCCGATCCGTCGAAGCAGATAGAGACAGCCGCGACGGGATCCGACAACGGAAAACAAATATATGGACCACAATGGAGAGCTTTTTGACACAAAAACCGCATGTATACAGGTTTCATTTCCTCTGGCGTAGTGGGCCGGACTTACAATTAAAGCACGACCGAAATTTATCATGAAAAATTTTGAAGCGAAAATATTTGGGTACATTTTTAAAAACTTTTATATGCATCTAATATATGAAACATAAATCGATAAAAATTATGGAAACAAGATATTTTCAAAGAAATTAAAGCAATTTTATTATCAATAAATCTTCAGAAAATAAAAGCTTAAGATCTTCAAAACTTTCAGACCGATATTTAAAAAACGTTCTAGATTTATTCGTCGATCAGTACCAAATTTAAAAATAATAATAGATAGGGAAAAAGAAAGAAGAAAGGCAATACAGGCTTCTTCTACTTTAGGTGCCATGTCCGTGTTCAGACGATGGTCATCATCATGTTTAAAATTTCCTGAAACCTTTCTTTATCGACTGCTGAGCGAAATGATTATTCTTCTTTTGTAGAACCACACTATTACCTAACATTACGCAGCCAAGGAAATTTATTTCGACCAATCCATCTCTTTCCCTCCACTTTTCCTTGTGTTATATTCTGTTTTTTCCGAAATATTCTGTTTTCCTCCTGTTTATGATGGTTATAAGCAGATTAATAATATCTTTATCTAGAATGCTATAGAAGCATTGTAAGTTCATGTCTGACAAGCATAATAGGATAGACTACACATAAGATTTCCGAACCCTTTTGCGAATATGCATGGACAGGTTCCTGTTACATAAAACTGGTTTCCAGCTCATAAAAGCCTTACGTGATATTTTAATCCTGGTTATCACCTCTTCATCAGAGTCTTCATTTAACCAGCTGCAAGGTATTTAAAATGGTTTACACGTTCTATCTCCTCTCCAGTAAAAGTAACCTAAATTAATATTTCCAAGTGCCATCCATTTTGTCTTTAAAATGTTAATTTTAAGGCCTGTCTGATATATTCACTTACTAGATTTACTAACATCGGGAGATCTTGCAAATTAACTAAAGATTTCTTCAGAGTATGGATTAAAAAGACTGGATGATAAAACACAAACTTCTTGTGCTCTACGTTTGATGGGTAGTTTTTTTAGTACGACTAGCTCCGATTTGGATAGGGGCTACTGATTGTAGTATAAGTGTTTTAGCAGTCTTATGTCCTAGTGGTTAAGTCCTATTGCCCACAGGTAATCGAAAAGTGTATCGTGTTGTACTCGGTCAAATGCCTTCTCTAAGTCGATGAAGCAAATATAAACGTTCTTTCGGAACTCATAACTTTTTTGTAAGAGACCGCGCATACTAAATAGAACCTTTTTAGTTCCTAGACCATTTTTAATGGATTTAATACTCAGATATAATTACTTACGCAAATATAATTATAATATGCAGACATAATCATTACTTCGTAAAATATTTGCATCATATATTGCCTTATAAGTGCAAATCTTTTGAACACGGAGTAGAAAAATCGAAAAAATAGGAAATTTGAATAATTGGTATTTGATATTTAATGATTTTTAAAAGCAGTATCGGTTTTGAAGTGAGATACATTGTAAGGGAAGATCAATTTGTATGGAGAAGACTGTAGAAGATTGGTAACGATCAAAATTTATGCCAGGAATAGAAAAAACCATTAGGAAAATCATTACAGAACACAATGAATCGGTAATAATAAGAAAGCTGTTTAGCTAGACTTAAGTATCAAGGACAACATTTTCGCTCTTCTCGTTCAAAAAAGTTCCATTGTGAGGTAATCCGTTTCTAGCTGTATTAGATTATAACACAACGCCAAATCAAATCTTATTTCCTTCTTACATTTTGCTAATTGAAAGAAAATTCGGAACTGATGTACCAATGAATAAGAGAATGATTTGTACACAAATGAGACACAACCAAAGCAAACAAACAAACTATTATGATAAAGAAACATAAAAGTTGCAGTAATTGAAACCTGGACAACCAGTTCTGCCGTGAAAAGAAAAATAATTGAACCATAAAGTGGTTAGGACAAAGAATGGAGTAAAAGACACTGAATATAGGCGTAACTGGCAGTACCTTGGATCTTTCCCATCAGAAATACTGTAATTGCAGCAAGCTTATATAAATTACGAGAAAACATGTGAAAAAGATAGTCAAAAATAAAATGGGTATAGTTTGATGCCCATTAAAAGGACAAATACAGAAAATAAGATAACAGTACTTTGTCCAGTATATTTTTAATTTATTAAACGAGAATGAAGTGTATTTGGTACTCTAAAATAAAGCATATTCCAGTCTAACCAATGTTATGTTTTTTCTATGTTTTTGGTACATCTTAAATTTATAAAATAAGCATCCATTTTAACTGTATGGTACATGTCTTCTTCTTCTTGATGTGCCTATCTGTTACGAATTTTTTCGATCATCATGGCAATCTTTAGCTTATCTGCAGCAGCGCGAAAAACAGATGCATTGCACAGATGTATTGAACCAGATTCTGAGGTTCTTTAACCAAGATGTTCTTCTTCTTCCTGGACCTCGTTTTCCAAATACTTTTTCTGTGGTACATGTAAAGCAGAAGAAATAAAATCAATGGGGAACAAGATCTGTATTGGAGAAATAAATCTAAATGAAACCAAAACAACAACAAATGGTTTCTGAACCACCAGTTTTATCCTCGATTTTGCACAGATTTATAGATTTACATCAACCATCCTTAGAACATATTTCCATCACTTAATCCAACCCTGTTCAGACTATTAACCTCTTATGGGAGATTACTCCTGATTTTGTTTTCACACGGACAAGAACGACGTTATCGCAAGGTGTGGTCGGTACGTCTTCTTGTTTCAAGATAAAGTTATCATATAGTACGTCACAAAAAAACTTCATTTCCGTTGAAAATATCAATAACATCAACAATGTAAACATGTAACGAGATGATTGGTAGGTGTACTCATCTGTGTTCATCTTTAATCATTACTTGTTTCTACAAACTCGAGATAAGATCTTATTTGTAGAGGAGATTATAGGCGAATTTTACCATTAAATGAGATTTTTTTCTATTATGGTAGTAATTTGTTTACAGCACTATATTTATATCTAGGCTATTATACTGAACGTTTATTTCCATTGAGATTATAGTCTAGGGGAAAAAGGGGGTTTTGCGGTAGATTGAGGTCCATGAGATTTTTGCTTTAAAATGAATTTTGAACAATTAAATTTTAATATAAGGTTGAATGTTCGAATAAATAAACTTTGATTCATTGATGAATGAACTTTGATGACATTCTGTCTCCGGCTTCTATATAAAATGTAGCTTCTCCATTTCTTAAATTTGAAAGTGTTTGTTTGTCTTTGTTTAGTGTATTTGTTATGTCCCAATTTACATTTATAACATTCTATTACTGCTGGATAGGCCACAACTGACGAAATGCCCCTGAGGATGATCTTGTGATCGAAAGTACTTGGGCAAGATTTGATTAACTACTGTGTTCGATATTTGCCTTGTGTACCATCAAAGTTTAATTAAATTTTATAAATGTTTGACGAAATTATAAATTTATATATTTTCATAAATTCTAACTACAAAACAATGGTTTTTTTGCTTACACTTACCTATTGTACCAGGTGGTGGTGGGAAACCTTGCTGGGGGTTGTGAGGCATCAGCGCTGTTCCTTGCATCTCGAAGCTAAGACGTTCTGCAACAAAAATCATTAGTTAGACTAAGTTTTAATAAAAAAATAATATTTTTGAAAGTAAACATACAAAATGTCAAACAATACATGACAGTGTAAACATACTGATGCAATAATATACAGGGTTACGCAATTGAACTGTTACCAACTTTACATCGATATATCTGGCAAATCGATAATGACAGCTATGTCAAAGTTGGCCTGATAACACTTCAATATATTGTTTATAAGCCGTCAAAAGCATTTGCATTTAAGTTTTATACATACAACAAAAGTTATTTGCAATGGAATTTAAACGTAATAGTGTGATTGCGTTATATTTGGCTGGAAAATCACAACCAGCTATTGTTCGTCAGCTCAAACACCTCAAAGTGAATAAAATGTTTGTGTATCGCACCATAACTCGTTATAATGATACTGGTAGCATTGCCAAACGTTATGGTGGTGGCCGGAAAAAACAGCAACATCACCTGAAATGGTTCGGAAAGTGAAGGCTCGACTTGAGCGAAATTCACGTCGTAGTGGTAATCAAATGGCCAAAGAACTGAAAATATCCCAGCGAAGCATGCAACGAATATTGAAAAAGGAGCTCAAGGTCAAGCCTTACAAATTCCAAAAAGCACACAATCTTACACCAAAGCAAAAAAAAGTTCGGCTTGAAAGATCAAAGGAGTTGTTACGCCTGCACGAACGTGGCGAATTTCCGAACATAGTGTTCTCTGATGAGAAAAATTTCCCTATTGAGCAGTCCATAAACTCTCAAAATGATCGTGTTTACTTGACCGAACGCACCTATGAACGTTTGAGCGTATGAACGGCCCTCCGAAGTAATTTCCCATCTCAAGTAATGGTATGGCAGCTGTAACCGCCAATGGATTATCAAACGTTTTTATTGAATCTGGTGTCAAAGTCAATGCAACTTATTATCGGGAAAATGTTTTAGAAGCTGCTTTAGAGCAGTGGGCACGTAAATATTTCGGTTGTAGACCATAGACGTTCCAACAAGACTCGGCACCGTCTAATAAAGCTAGTGTGAAGCAAGAATGGTTAAAAAACCATGTTCCGCACTGCATTTGATCCACACAATGGCTTTTGAATTCGCCAGACGCAAATCCGATGGACTATTCCATCTGGTCTATTTTGGAGACCAAGGTGAGAACTAAAAAATATGCTAGTATGGATGCGCTGAAGAAAGCAATTTTACGTGAATGGTCCAAAATATCGGGTGATCACATTCGTGCAGCATGCAACTTGGTTTTTGATCGTTTGAAGGCCATAGTCAAGGCAAAAGGTGGCCACATCGAACTGAAGTGAGTGGATTCTAAAATTTTGATTATTTTCACACATTATTATCATTTGAATCAATAAAAAATAAATTCACACAATTCAAATTAAAAGGAAAAATTGAAAGACGTATGCTTCAAAGTCCTCACAATAGATCAATAGTAAGACCAAGAAGATCAAACAAAAATGGGGTAACTTGATAGAAGATTCCTAACGTGGAATAGAAGAGAAGAAGTGACGACTAGATATTCCCAGGTAAAATATCAACAGGTATTTTGTTAATCTCTTAGGAAAATGAACTAAGACATAAAAAATATTGTCAGAGATATATAATAACAGAAAACATTTTGAGTCCAAACAGGCTGGAGATATTTCCCCTAAATGTAAAGCAGGTTTGGTAAAATAAAAGCTAAAAATGGAGTATTGTATGATCTAAAAATACTGATGAATCTGAGGCTGAGGAGACCTCTCTAAAAATCCAGAAATGTACAAGAAAAATATTACGACGACGATAATTATCATAAAAACATACTCACATCAACAACTGCCTTTTTAAGGAAATAAAATCAGATAACTGATCAGAAAAGACAGTAAATGTATCGACGCCTGTGATGCCAAGTTAAACAAAAGTACACAAGTTTTTGTGGTTAGTTCCATCGATTACTAATGAGCACTTTCCCCTCTTTTGCCTGTCTTCTAATTAAGTGATGATCGTTTTCACCTAACAACCGAACAAGATACTTAAATACCAGTTTATAATATGCTTATGCAACTTTCATTTAGTGGAATTATGTAGATCATTAAAGAAAATGGCAATAATAGTTTTCTTTAGAATTTTTACTGTAAAGAAATCAATAAAAGGGGAGGGTTTATTACATTATGGTAAAAGATACTTCATTTAGAGGTAAGAAGAAGAAGAAGAAAAAACAATAATGCCATATACAAGAATCTATGATTAACAGTTTAGGAAAACGAGTAAACATTCACAAATTTATCTTTCTAAACTCATATATGGAACCAAGTTTTAGTAATTCAACCGCCTAATACAGAACAAACTACTGACAACAGAAATATACTTTGTTAACAAGATCAAAATGAACATTCACACGAGAAACTAAAAAATTAGAAGATTGCTCGAAGAAAAAAGAACTATTGTTGAAGATTTACATAAGAAATATGCCATTTGGTACGGATTTATAAACAGAATAAGTGAAGATCAAATACAAAAGCAAATAATGGACTAGAAAAGAATACCAAAAAAGAAAAAGGATGCCCACATGGGGCATAGTAAGAATGGAAAATGTTTTTTCTTTGCAAGCCGAGGATGACAACTTCAACTCTGTCTTTCCTGTAGACTGCATCAACAAGGTATGGTCAATCCTACAAATGGAGAGAGGGAAATTGCATGACCGGAAATTTATGGAAACTCTCCAGCTCTTTACTCTTTCTCTTTAAGAACTATCAGTTTCGGTACAAAATAGACAGCCCAAAAAGAATATCAGTCCAACTGATTTAGGTGTTTGTTTATTTAAAAGTAAATGACGTATTTACAAATTACTATTGATAATATACAACATTGTAAGAAACAATTTTATTGCCATAACAAAGTCGTAACAAATGCAGTAAAACACGTACATAAAACTTACTGTTCCAAAAACTTTAAAGTAAAGAAAGCATATTGGAATATTTCTGTGTTTAAATCTTTAGATGGATATTTGTATAATGCTTTCCAAACGTGGATCAGAACTGTGCTCTAAAATCAAGCGTAGTATTTTCCACAGTATTTATACCGTCTTAAAATTATTGAACACTTTGTCATATCTATTAATAAAACACCTACTTTAAGACAAAAATAATAAAACTGATTTGTTCTGGATTTACAGATAACAGGAACTAGGACTCTTTGTCGCCGGTGAGGGTGTGGCCACTCCCTGGAGTTTTGAGAGAACGACACTCCCTGTTTCTCGAATGCTTTTATCATAAAAATATCCATTGCACCTCACGTAAATGTAGCTACGGGGTTTTCCTATGCGTCTGTCTGTATAATAATATATCATCGGTGTATTGGATGTTGAAATTGTGGCCATCTTGTTTATCTTACCTCTCGGAAGTGTTATGGCTGGGAAAAAATCCGATTTTGTATATCGACCACAGATTCAAGAATCTAAGGGACAGGAATTTACATACAATACTTATAGCTTCTTATACTTCGTTTTGGGTATTTAAATTCACTAGTACAAGATTTTTCCACGTAGTTTTTAAAATAGACAAACAAAATGATAATGTTTACTTATTTATGGCTTTTAAAAATACTTTCCATGAATATTCATATAATTTTACGTGTATTTGAACTCATTTTTGAAACTCCAAACGACATGACAATTAAAAATTTGTTTAAATGTATAAACCGTGTTGAAAAGAAAATTGATCTCATAATTTTACGCAAATTTGATAGTGAGTGTTGAAAAAGTTTAAGAACACTTCTCACAACATAATGGTACCATCCAAAGTTGATGACTATACGGTATTAGAGGAAGATCGCCTACTATTAGGATAGCGTTTAATATTAAATAGCTAAATATTTCAAAAATAAATGAAGTAACAGAAGATGAAGTATAAACTTTCTACCAACATGTTGAAGATGCACTGAAAATGACAAAGACCAGGGAAATCACGGTAGTTATGGCCGATTTCAATGCAAAAGTCGGCAAGGGAGAGCTGGAACAATAATGGGAGATCAAGGACTTGGGGAACGTAACGATATAGGAGATCGTCTAATACAATTCTGCCAAGAACAAGGTCAAATAATCACAAACACGTGATTCTTTCACAACTGAAAGAAGCTGATATAAAAAACAAACTCCAACAGAAAATATACGAAAACTTTGATAAAGTAAATATTAACACCTACGAGATAAACCAACAATGGGAAACATCCATGCAAAGAGATATTAAAAGTATCGATATGAACGAGGGACAACTGGATGACCGACGAAATTCTCGGCAGGATGGACCAAAAAAGACAAGCCAAGAACAAAGACATTCACAATTACAAAATCATTAACAATGAAATAAGAAAAATGATAAGAGAGACAAAACAAACTTACTATGAGGAAAAATGTAAGGAGATAGAAGATCTTCAGAACAAATACGACTTATTCAACCTACATAAAAAGGTTAAAGAAATGGCAGGGCTGCACAAAAGAAACCACAACACAACTCTTTTAGATAAAAATGGAAATACTATGATAACGACTGAAGAAAAGCTAAAACGATGGAAACCTACAAGACATATCTTTCGAGGATAGAGAAACAAGTATAGAAATTACAAAGGAAGAAATAATTGTATGCACTAAAGAACACCAGAAACGTAAAAAGCCCGGGGCCAGATCAACTGCCTATTGATATCCTTAAAATAATAGAAAACGAGTACAGGGATGTCCTCTTAAAGCTCTTTAATGAAATTTATCAGTCGGGTGACATACCTAATGAATGGTTGACCTCAATATTTATTTGTCTCCCAAAAAAGAAAAATGGTAGAGAATGCACCTACCATAGCACCATAAGCCTGATGTCTCACACATTTAAAATGTTTTTAAAGATCATCCACAAACGCATTTACCAAATACTTTATATGGATATTGAAGAAACCCAATTTGGATCCCGTAGAGGCCGGAGTATCCGTGAAGCTCTCTAAGCATTCAACGTACTAATCCAGAGATGCTTGGATGTGAACCAAGATATATATTTCTGTTTCATAGATTACAATAAGGCTTTCGATAAAGCCCGACACAAAGAGCTAATG